TATATATATTTATACTAGTACATACACTGTATACATGTAGCCACATATATATATATGTATGTATGTATGTACGTATGTATGTGTAAATTGCATGAAATTATGACAAGAAAACAGATTTGGAAGTAAGGACTAGAATAAAGAAGTGGACAGTAACATTACAATTTCAGAACTTTTTTAAAGCTCCTTGTTTAAACAAGAAAGAAATTACGTCAGATTTATTTATTTACTACTTCTCGTTCCTTATATTTTGCCATCAACATGTATTTTATTCATTGTGTTCAGATATTCTATTTGTAATGTTACATGTTCTGTTTTCTGTTGTTTCATTTTGTTCATTTCGCAATTTCTGTACAGCGCACCAAAGGCAGGAATGGGACATTACATCTTTGGTAAAAAACGGATCTTATTCTTTGTAACATTGTGGATTAGTTTTTTTGCCATAATTATTATAGTACATGTAAAGGGAAATGTTGGAAAATTTTTTACATATGATCCTCTTCAGAACCTTTAAACATACATGTCTAAAAAATGGACTGTGAACCACACAGAAAACATCAGGTTTCTTGGTGCAAGGAAAGTGCAAGAAGGTGCAAGGACATTATACAGGATACTGTATAATGTCCTTGGTTGGTGGTCCAAGTCAAACCTGTCCAAGGCGACCATCCAGGGGACCAGAGAAAGTGGTCGTGTTGGAAAGTTAGTCTCCTTGAAGGGTCCACTCACAGCCTGAATATTAATGAGACATAATCATTTCTAGTCTTTAATATGCAAGATACTGTAAATATACAGGTAGTATATATATACTGTAAGTACAGTACCAGCCATCGTACACTCTAACGTAAATTACGATCTGTGTAGAATTATTTAGAAGAAAAGAATACCCCAGTAACAAAAGTTCTAAATTTTTCAAAAATTTGAAAATGAAAATTTGAATATATTTGAATTCATTTATATATTTCTGAAACATTTTGAATGTGACTGTACAAAGATCTCTTTCTTTAGAATAAATTTGAACTACCCATGTGTTTCTTTCACAATTCGAAATATTTAGAACTATTTCAAACAAATAACCAAATGGTAGATGTGGGTAATTGCCCCCATAAAAGTAGGTGCTAATCCTACTCTTCTGTCTTCCTCTGTATATTTTTAGATTTCACTGCTGGACACTGGTGGCTCTTTTGTTGTAAGGCATCAATGCCTGACGCCCAGGCAGTCTACCCTGTACTCCACGGGGATGTGTGAATTACTTCCTTCCCATCCCACTGACCTATTTACAAAATGTTAGAAATAATTCGAAATAATGGTAAAAAATGGTAGAGTGCTGTTAGAAATATTTAGAAACTATTGGAAATGTCATAATCCACATCAGGAATATTTCAAACGTTTTTAGAAAGCCAGGGAATTATTTAGAATATTGACAAGATGTTCAAAATATTTCCAAATTATGAAATTTCTTAGACAAACAATTACAAAGAATTCAAAACATTTCTAAATAATGACAATAACAACCCACACGGTGACGCGGAATTGACTCTAAAAGTACACCCGCCGAAATTACGGTCGTAAGCACGGCGTAATTACGTTCGCGGAGTGGGGGGCAGCAGGAAATATTCAGAATATTTTTTTCAACCACCGTGTACACGACATATTCACGAGGACTTTAGTACATATAATTATCTATTAAACAACCCAATTTATGACAGAAACGAAGCCGACAGAGAGGACTGCAACTGCCGATGTTTCTTCTTTCAGCCGGTCACTGATAGCGGGGAGCGGATCTTGGGGAGCGGACGAAAGCTAACAACTTAAATGCTGAGGTCACAATTCCCACAAGGGGCCCGGGCCGGGCAGCTTTTGGGAACGAAATATATGAATTTGATTCATTTACTCGATTACTGCAATCATAGACGGTTTTTTACATAATTTTGGGCATACAATAAAATAGTCATTGTTTAGAGTCAGTAAAACTTCTTTCCTAGAACATCATCATTATGGAACAACCTACCACGTTATTGTTTCCCATGTGGGTATAACCTTAAACTTTTCAATTCTAAGGTCAACAAACATCTGTCCTCACTGTCTGTATAGTAATCCAAAACATATGAGTTGCTCCAATGAGCCTTATTTTGCGGTGAACACGAAGTCAATGAAAAAAAGACGGCATATCCCTTTTAAATGGCCATTCAAACATGTCCACAAGACACTGATCAATGTGCTTTCCATCTTAACCTTGAACGTAACAACTTCAAACTTGTTCATCTAAGTTAATTTCTGGGAACAAACCAATTTTAGGCTAACATTACTTCCGCAAATTTGACTTCTATAATTTGAGGAAGCCAAATGGCGAAACTGGCCGAGGCTCTGGCCTGACTCTAGGCCTGGGTAGACCATGGTAGTTAGCGACAGTACGGAGCCGGTGGTAACTCTGGAGGACGGCACCCAGGCTACCGAAGCTCCACGACTCAAGAACTCATGATCAGTACATACGTACAGTGCCGATTCATAAATTCCGCAAAAAGCCAGCATGTGCCGACCTGTCGTATACGTCGCATGTGTACTGCCGCAAATTCACGATACCAGCTTTGTATTCCTGTGGTTTGGTAGCATTTTTATATTTGGCCGGAATCTTTTTTTATTCCTCCGCGCGCACAACTTTGGGGGTCTTCAGAGGATGTCGTCCATAGAATTATGTCGGTGTGGCCTTACACAGCAACATAATCTGCGGATTCGTTTTCAGTCGTAAAAATATAACTCAATCCAACCCAACTGTAAAGAAATTAACCTCCGTACTTGAGCCTCCTTGATTTTAACAAGAATTATTTTTCAATGTAGAATACCAGAAACGCACGCTGCATCAGGCTCTCGTTTAAAAATATCGTGAAAGACCTGAAAAATGTTACAGTGCGGTCAAAACTTAAGGTTATAGCCTCCTTGGTCAAAAGAAATCAGCTCCTGCCGAAAATTACATTTCGGGCTAGCAACTTATGCGTAGACACCTTGAGACCTGTAAGACCTTGAAAAGAGATAGAAGAAGAACTTTATTGCGCAACAGATGTAGCGGGTACAACGTATGGCAAAATATTTTACATATATAGTTTGTGGTGTTAACATACACATATGGTGGTGTTGAGAATATCTAACAGTTCTACTAACTGTAATAGGAATCTGGTCTGCTTCATAAACAATGTACTAGTATAACAAAAGAGATACACTACTTATACTAATCTACTGTAACTCTATTAATACAGTCTCTCATTGGCTGCTGTGTTACAGTGGCGACCTTTTTCAATTTGCAAAGAGTGGGCACTAATCCTAAGTTTTGTAATGCTGTTTCTAAATGATTTGTTTTGAATTGATAAAATATAGTGTTTTAATTTTGCAGTAGGTATTGAGTTTGGTAAGACCTTGAAAATCATAATAAGTTCGTGTGCCGGCATTTACCCCCTGAAATACAGCGTTATTAGCGATTTCTTCAACTTGTTCCCAGACAGCGCGGCACTAAAAATGAATTGCGTGATACATGCTGGAAGTTCTGTGCGAGGCCGCCGGCAACTCCCATTACCACATGTTACCAGGAGGTGCGGTTGACCACGCCCCGCCCTTTGCCGTGCCGACTTTCTGTCAAGTCTCCTACAGAAACGCGTATTTACCGTAACTTTTTATATACAAGTGGTATAAAATAAACAAGAACATTACATATGTATGCTTACTTGATCAATTAGGTCAAGAGTACCAAACAATCCCTCTAAATCCATTATTTGAGGTTATTAATTTTATTGCCACACCCTGCTAGTGCACATGTTTGCTGAAATATTCACAGACTTCCGGCGCCTCGTGTCAGAGAATAGTGTAACCCTAGAGAGTGCCACTTTTCCCATGCCCAAACTAACGTCACTTCTAGAGCTATCTACCATCCAAAGTTTGTGACCTTAGCATGTCCAGATCACGAGATATCCAAACCGGAACTTTCGCTGCAGCACCATAACAAGCTGCTAACGTTAACCTTAGGGAACCCAAAGTTCTTTTTTAGGTCTCATCAAGCCCTTCTAACGTACCAAGTTTCGTGACTATCCATCCATATAATTCACAGCCATACCTTCTTGAGTTATCGTGCTGAAACACATGAATAATACCTTTTTTCCTTGGAAAGTGCACACAATGCTACACTATCAGGTTCGCTCCTAAGGCGTCGCCAAAAAAATCAATTCTGCTGTGACCTGCGGTGACACCAGAAGTTGGCGTTGCCAAAAAATTGGTGACCTTTAACCCCGTTTCCAGGATACCCGGCTACACTGCACTGACTTACCTTATCCCAGCTGACATAAGCCTACTTACTTATACGTTACTAAACTTTATCGATTGTTTGACTCTGTCAAGCTTCATCGACAGGCTTATTTTGATAGGATAATGTAAAGTCAACTTATAAATGCAGGCGCGTCTGCTGACGACTGGGGGCGATATCGATGTACGCGTGCCGAGACGTGGACTGGACAGGTAAAATCTCTGCTAACGCTAACAACTTTTTCTTGTCTGTATATGAATGTCTGTAAGTAGTTTTGCACCCATTAGGCTGGCTGTTCTTAGTCTCAAAGACCTTAGAATATCAAATAAAATCGTAAACGTTACATAAAATGTACAAAATCGTCAAAATTTTTACAACAATCATGAACAATCGAGCGCGTCGGTATCAAAATACCGTCCGCGAGCATGGCGGTTATAGCGAGGTCAGCTGGTCCCAATTTGTAACCTATTTCCGCTCTGTTCTTGGACGTTCTCCGTGTGTCCTTGATTCTACCGAAACAATTCAAACTGTTTTGATTTTTGCATCATGAATTGGGGTGTGCCACTGGGCCGAAGTGTAAAATTTCAACGGGTATACGGAAAAACCCGTACAGTCTGAAAAAGGGTCTGCATGGGGTATCCTGGCAAATCTTATAATAGAAAGTTCTACCCCACAACTGCTTGTACATTGTGTCACCTAAACTAGTTACCAACCTACATTTCCATCTCACCCAAAGGTATTTCATACTTTACAGATACAGTTGATCAGCACACCTGTAAGTGAGACCAGGAAGTGTTCGGACAGTCTCAGCCATGTCTCTGCGGACAAGAATAAACGGTTTCACAGCATGGGTGAACCTGCGGCTGGTGTCCTACAGTCTGTCCATCAGTAACATCCTCAATGAGCTGCTGACTGGAAGTCATCTGAAGATGTTGGTACAAAGTAAGTTTCTAGTATGAGTATGCGGTGGGTTTCAAGTGCTGCTAACTGACCCAGTCCTTGTGGAGTAGTCATTAGTGTGCTGGCCAGCAAAAAACTCTGCCAGGAGATAAAAAAAATTGGTTAAGCTATATTTGTTGAACGGTACATCTGCAGAGTAGAATTATTTTAGGAGGGGACAGAGGTAGTTTCGGTGAGAGCAAAATGTTTTCGCTCAATACAGACGGGGGATTGGCCGCATAACATCACACGGTAGGTGGACAAGAAAACTTGAAACTCATCTGATATTTATTTGCAATCATGTTATGTAAATTGTGTATCCTTGTAAGTAGTTAGAGTCATCCGATCTGCTGCAGTATCATTAGTTGAAACAGATAAGAACACTACAGTATAATTGTTGTCATTGCTTTTATACTGATGAAAAGTAGAAACAACTCTTTCTGTTTTTCAAGGTTTTACAGGAATGCAAATGAAGAAACTACAGAGCATGGATGGGTGAGATCTTATTTTTATTTAGTATTCATACAGTAACATATGTATTAACAAAACAAAATTTAAAGCAAACTAGAAAGGCCGACATTTGCTTGGGAGCAAATACAGCATATTTCAGTCCATCTCCCTCCTACGCAAAAGTGGACTATTCCAAACTTACCCCAGTGCAAAACTGGCAAAGATTCTCAAATAAATGAATTAAATAGTAGCTATATGAGAACAAAGATGCAAGAACAAGTACTTTGAATCTCGTAAGCTTTACTAATCTTATTACAGGTATGCAAATACTAACAATGATGAGATTTGATACATTTTGAAGGTCTTAGGCACAAAAAATTGAATGTGTGGGTCATTACGCACGACTTGGTTGCAAATACGTGACTGCTACTAGTATTCTGTAGACACACGTTCAAGGTACCCTTATACCGAATGTCATATCATTTGGTTGTAATACCAGGACTCAGGATCCAAAAATCCGTTTTTTGTCGAAAAATGCCCCAAAAAACCTTCATAGAAATTTTTCAAAGGCATTTATCAAAAAAATGAAAAAATGCATCTGGGTATTGGCCCACTCTACCTCCATGCCAAATATTGGGTCATTTGGCTGAATGATGGCGGAGTTGAATCCCTCAGAGCGAGTGGCAGGAGGAGAAGAAGAAGAAGAAGAAGAAGAAGGAGAAACATGAGGGAACACAATATATTTCATCCATACCATGGTATGGACTGAAATATAATTATGTACAACATATTTATTAGGCCACACCAATTTAATTTGTAGGTTCATGGATTTGCCTGAATCATTTTTTTTTCTGATTTGCAAAAAACCAGTGCTGTTACAGCGATTCCCAACCATTGTGTATTATGCAAACGACATCCACATTTGCATAATTTACATTCGTATGTTTCAATGTGCAAACATGTAGACTGTTGGTGCAAGGGTTGAAAAATAGAAACTAGTAGATAGATGACAAAGGAGGTTTGGCGTTACAAATGTAGTTATACATTGTAGTAGCTTTTGTGCAAGTAAGGAAAAAGATTTTATGGTGTCGAAATGAAATGCTGCCTCCAGGTTACTTTTAGCTGTGGCTTTAGCTGTTAAAATTACTCTGTTGGTTGCTGGATGTAAACCTGATTCATTCATGCTTGCCTTTGTGTAAGGAAGATTACTAGTAAGTATTTTCTGGTTTTTATAGCTAGAATTGTTAACTTTTTTTTTCATTCCTGTATACGTTCACACATTGACATGCATTAATGACCCAAAGGTACGAGATTTGGGTAGATAAGTATTTTTGCTGTCCTGTATGTTGTTGACATGTGTACATGTATGTAACTCTCTGTTCCAGTTTGACAGAGACACAGAAACTCACACGAGTGGAGTGGGCTGTAACTGCATTGAAAAAAAGGTACGCAATGTTACAAAAGTTCCACTACCTGATACATGTATCTTTGCCAAATGGTATAATTATCCTTTTTGACTGATGTATCAAATACTTATTATGTTGCTCATCGACTATGCAAATGAGGTCATTTACATAAATTATCAGTTGATGATCTTCTCTAACCATTGGCAAAAAAAGTCCAATTTTGCCATTGTTGTCTGAAATTTCTATTTATTAGAGGAAGGTCCAGTTACTAGTCCAAAAAACAAAACAAAACAAAATATATTTATTAGTTGTCTTTTTAGTTGAATTGATGTCACACTATTGTATGATTTCTATCTGATATTCCAGCAAACACAACCCTACAGCCTGTGACTCCCATGGTGCCATTACTGTTCCAATAGGGACGGAAAGTTTTTTCTACCTCGTCGTCTTCTAGCCTGATTTTAATCGCTTTACGGTTGCCGGCCCCCAACATCCAGCCGGCCCCAAAAAAATGCAGGAGGGGCCACTAAAGCCGCGGACAGCAGAGTTTGCGTTACACAGACTAGTTGTCTTCGATTGCATGATTTTCGAACCTTCCTGAGCAGTGTTAGGAGCACTTGAGTTTCTTAAGTCTGCAATTTAAGGAGTATTTCTGATGTTGTATTTGCAGATCTTTGTTAATACTTCGCTTTTAAAATTAACGATTATGGGTATACACAACAAAATAAATATGTAGATCTTGACCTGATGTTTTTTTTAACCTCTCTTTAGGCCACACCAATTTAATTTCTTGGTTAACGGTTTCGCCCTCTTCATTTTTTTCTGATTTGCAAATAAAAATAAAAATTCAGAATCAACTGCAAAATGCTTATATTTTGCCCTGAACAGTTGAAAACAGTCCTTTTCTTCCTGGTTGTTATAGTTATTCCATCTTTCAATGCAGTGGTATCATTAAAAGTTCAAAATTCATTGTTTAAATTTTGAACCAGCCTGGTGTGTTGACTTCATGGCTCCTATCGTACCATTTTGGGCCATAATAGGATGCCTAGGCCTGTTTTTATTTTTATTTATTTTTCGCCCATTCGCCCGCTCCATTATTTTTCTAGAAAAATACGTTAACCAAGAAATTGAATTAGTGTGGCCTTATTTGAGTTTTTCACATAAATGAACAACAACAAAAAACGTGTGGAAAATCATGTTTGAACATTAGGACGGAAACAAGATGGCAACCAGAATGTTTCACAGTCCCAAAACTGTAACATATTAATTAAGGTTTACCACAGAAATGTCAACTTTGAAATTTGCAGTCAGGTGATAGAAGAAGAAGCCAGGATAGACTGTCGTCTGGTGACCATGCGCAGTGCTGATCACGTGAGTGAACCTGACATCTTTGCTAAATGTTTTTTGTTCATCATCCTTGCTACCTTTGAAGCTTGCATTAGGCAATAGCTAGTAATTTTTATGGATGACATCAGCACGTGCATTAGTTTTTGCACAGAAATTTTGTTGCCTTCTGACAGTGTTCGTCATGCCGAAAATGGGCAAAGATGTCTGTTGCCATGCCGGAACATGGATGGCAGATAAATATGAAGACAGGAAACCATATATATATAAGAAAAGGCTCGCATTTAATGTTTTGTTTCTTACTTTGATGCAGTGATATGTGATGCTGGCTGTGTATATGTGATGTTCCCACTGAATAAAAACCATTTGTATAATGATTGAGTCAAAATTTTAAAATGTAGGAACCTTGTTTTTTTGGGCCCACTCGCTTTAGATTTGGGGTCTGTGGAGGATGTCATCCACAAAATTTACTTGCTGTGGCCTAAGGTTAGTGTCACAGAACAGTAATTTTGTTTTGTTGTAAACTGTTGTGTACAGGTGTTTGATCTGATGTGGCACCTGATAGCTTATGACATCTGGTTCCTGTGGGAGAGGGCAGATTACCTGCAGCAGGAGGATCTCAAAGTGCTGACTCAGGTTCCATACAAGGTATGTGATGTTACTGTTTTTTAGGCCGCACCAATTTAATTTGTTGTTTCTCTGATTTTTTCATAAAAAATATGAAGCGACAGGGCGAAAAAAAAAAAAAAACAGGCCAAGGCACCCCGTGATAGCCGGAAATGTTACAATATAAGCCAAGAACTGACCATACCAGGCTGGGTTATAATTAAAACAATAGAGTTTGAACTTTTAATGAAACAAAATTGCATTGTTACATAGAAAAACTTTAACTAGGAAGAAAAGGACTTTCTTCAACCGTTGGGGCCAAAATATGTCTTTCATTGAACATTTTGCAGTTGATTTAGATTAAAAAAGAATTTTTTTTTAAACTTTTGCAAATCAGAAAAAAATAGGGCGACCTCAGAAGCAACAAATTAGATTGGAGTGGCCTTAACTCTTGTTAGATACTGCGGCAATGATTATCATAATGTATTATAATCTTACAGTTACAGGGGATGTTATAACCTGTAACACATTTTTATCATAGTGCTCCATTTCTAAGTTGTTAAAAATGGTTAGGTTTTGATTAATGAAAATAATTAGGCATTGAGTAGCATGCATTACACATCAAGACATTGAAGAAGAAGAGATGCATTTTGTTAACCAGGGATGGAAATATCACTGCAAATGTTCTATTGGGTGTTTTTCTGATTTTTATGGCAAATGGGTCTAAATGGCTTGAACAGTTGTGTTCTAGAGGGCTCATATGACTGAATGGACTTTAAGGACCTTAGAGTTTTAAACCCAGGTTAAACCATGGGCAGTAGGCCACTGTGTTTTTGTTGAGATCTCTGTTACTTTATTTCTATACCTAGGTAACTGAACACACTTTCATTGTGCACTGTGTCGTACAAGACTCCTGAGAATCATACACTGAACACAAACATCAAAAACTCGGTCTGTTGAAAGATTCCCGAGAAACAGAGAAAATCATACACTCTAGATGGTTAGGAGATAGATAGCCCAAAGGCTGACGGGAGTAGAACTGGTTTCACAGTTACTAGCTCAAACGCGTTCGCAAACCCGCTGCTCGATCGATAGAACCCGGCAAGGGGGCTAGCGATAACTTCAAAAAGATGACATTTCGCACCTAGTGTATACCCAGTACCTAACCAAGCCGAAGCATTCGGAAGTCGCTGTTCGGCTCTCGGCAATCTTCGGGCGGCTTCGATATCTGTTTGTATGGTTCTTTGGAATTCTCATCAGGTTGTGGACGGTGTTCAGTGTACGTATGATTCTCTGGAATATTTCAACGGACCGTGTTCAATGTGTTATGTGTTGAGTGTTGAGTGTACGATTCTCGGGAATCTTTCAACGGACCGTGTTCACGGTGTTATGTGTTAAGTGACTGTATGATTCTCAGGAATATTTCAACGGAATGAGTAGACACAGTGTATGTTCTAACATACGCACAACAATAATAAGGCTTTTAATGGTTTACAAAACAATATACATTTGTAGATCTCAACAAAAAACTCGGTGGCCTAGCGTCTGTGGTTAAACCTGTGGTTATTTGGGTTGAACTGGTAAACCTATGGACTGTAAGGCTTGGTGAAGACCTGGTCATGAGTGTCACTGTAACAACTTGAATTTTAAAAAAAAATTTCAGTGGACCCCTGAGCCACCGCCTCTCAAGAAAAAACCTAAAAGGAAAATGAAGACAGACCTGCTGGCTGGATTTGGTGCCAAAGCAAGTGTAGCAGACGGGCCAGAGGAACTGGTGAGAACAGATGTTTGTTGGATACATGAATGTAACAGGCCACCTAAAGATCATGGGGACAGTATGAAATAAAGACTAAACTTTAACTTCCAACAATTAGATTACAGAATTGGGACTTACCCCAAATTTTTGGTTGACTAGTAGCTACTACGGTCACATGTCTCTGACGTCACGTTCCAAGAGTAAACGGGTCGATTCCGTGAACAAGGTTGATGGAGTCAACCGAAAATTTGGGGTAAGTCCCAATTCTGTAATCTTAGTGTTGGAAGTTAAAGCTTAGTCTTTATTTCATAATGACTTGTACCAACACAGATGAACTTTCATGCTAAATCATGGGAACAGGTTTTCTGAAAAATTTTCGTGGGAAAATCTTGGACGTGAAAAATTTGTGCATGAAAAACTAGTCCTTGAAATATGTTAAAAAATATGCAGGAACAAATTCTTAGGAAGGAAAATGTGATCCTGTGGTATGATTTTCCATCTGTTACTAGAAAGTCCCTTGGGAATAGGTTAATTAGCATATCTTCCATGAAACCCAAACATTTGAAAATCACTTGAATTTGTCAGAAATACATGAAATAGATACTACAATGTAGTACATGTGTATGTAAGTTTTTGTATTGTAAAATGTAACCATTTGAAGCTTTTCTTGATTCTTGAAGTTCGATTTCATATTTTCTTAGATTCTTTCATTTAGCATGGAAGTTTGGGTAAGTCCCAATTTACTTGAAGTGTTGCCCTGAACGTTTATCCTTTTTGTCATAAGACTTTTCCACATGCAAATTTCATAGTTTTTTTGCATGTGAAAACTTGAGAGCAACAAAATGATATGAAATGAATTCTAATTCAATGTCTCTTTTTTCCCAACTATTAACTAAGATGAAATTTTTAATCCCTTGGGAATCTAAGCTAATTTGCATATTTTCACTCACAAATTTTTCACACGCACAAAACCAACCCCATCCTGAGTACGTACGTGAAATTGTTGATAATTGCTCATTTTCTGACAATCTGAACCATTTCACTTCAGACTCTGATATCTGCTTCTGGTTAATTACTGGAAAGGTACAATATTATTGTAAGCAGTATGACTCCAACAAAAAGTAGATGTGTTTTTCATATTCCACTCTATACCACATATATGGGAGAGAAATACATGATTGTATATTGTTTTTTTATCATGTTTATTGATGTTTAGTGATGTTAGGATAATCCATTAAATTTTCTGTGAAGTACTAACTTTAATTTGGGATGGTCCATTTCTGGAAATGGCTGATATGGAAGAGTCCATTTTTGCATGGGGAGAGAGTGAATTATGCTTTATTTCCTAGCAAATGTGCCCTTTCTAGTTTTCATATCCTTTTGTTTATTTCAGGGTGAGGACCAATCTCAGCATGACAGGTGATTATAATATATCATATTCTAGTAGTACTCTCAATGCCACCTTTCATAGATCTATCATTTGTAGCTTGATTATTTGTAGTTGTCAATGAGTGGGATTTTGGATGGCAGATTGTATTTCTCAGGAAACTTATTAGCATTTTCACCTCTCTACTCTCCCTGACACCTCATTAGGCCATACCGACTTAATTGTATGGATGACATCCTCTGAAGACCCCCAAACTAGTGCGCACGGGCAAATAAAAACATCTGGCCAAAAATAAAAATGCTACTAAACCACAGGAATACAGCTGGTATTGTGAATTTGCATCAGTACTTAGCGATGTATACGACAAGCCAGCACATGCTGGCTTTATGCGGAATTTATGAATCGGCACTGTACGGGTGTGCAATTCTTGAGTCGTGGAGCTTCGATAGCCTGGATGCCGGCTATGTATTTTCGTTAACTACCATGGACTACCCAGGCCTAGAGCCAGGCCAGAACCTCGGTGGATGTGATCTTTTTTTCAGAACAGGCGAAATCAATGCGTGCGGATGTCATCTATAAAATTAAGTCGGTGTGGCCTTACTTTGTGTATCTCCTACATTAATCCAATCCTTAAGTACACTGCCCCGGTTTGGCAAGATAGAGAAAGTCCAGCCTTATGAGTTATCCTGGGTGCTGACAAGAGATTTGCTGACAAATAGAACTTTTTTTACTCCATATTTTAGGCCACACCAATTTAATTTGTTGTTTCCCGGATTTGCCTTGTCCATTTTTTCCTGATTTGCAAAAAAAAAAAATTGGGGGGGTTCTAAATCAACTGTAAAATGCTCAACGAAAGACATATTTTGGCCCCAATGGTTAAAGAAAGTCCTTTTCTTCCTAGTTGTTAAAGTTTTTCAATGTAACAGTGGAATTTTGTTTCATTAAAAGTTCAAAATCTATTGTTTTGATTATAAACCAGCCTGGTATGTTCACTTCATGGCTCATATTGTAACATTTCTGGCTATCATGGGGTGCCTTGGCCTGTTTTTTTTTTATTTTGCCCTGTTGCTCCATATTTTTTCTGAAACAGCAAATTAAATTGGTGTGGCCTTACTTGTAAATATGTCTTACTCAGTTTAATCACGTCTTAAGTCAGAATTGCAATGTTTGTGACTATGGTCTGAATATTTTGAAATGAACTGTACATATTTACCCTTGTTGCTGTATAAAACAGATATCCTGGGACAGAAGTTGCCCTGTCCTACAAAAAAAATCTACCTCGAGGTGGCTGGCTGTCCTATCCATCCCCAGATGACTGCATTTTGGATCTGGTCTGCGCCCAGTTAGCACGGGTGCGAGAAGGGAGTAAGTTAACTGTGGTGAGTATTGTGTTGTTTAGAATGCTGAAGTTCAAAAGCTTGGAGTAGTTAAAATGGTACAGTTATGGTATCATGATCCAATGCAATTTCAGGGTGGCAAAACTGGATTTTCGAAGTCACTTTCCTGGTCATTCTTTTAATACCCCATAGCATACTGATATCTGTGAGGCAAAAATATGATGTCATCGATGCAAAACCTAAAAATAGCTAGTAAAAATAGAGTGACGTAACTTGTTTTGGAGCAGTTTCATATGCTTTGAATATAAAATGATATTCAATCAATCAATCAATATCCTTTATTTATACTGGAAATGCCCTGTTGGCCTTAGCCGCTCTTCCCAGAGGTCCAGTTGAGGGGGGGGGGGTCATGGGAACACAATAAATAAGTAAATAAAATTTAAATTAATACAAAAATAAATTACTAAATACCTAACATAATAATCATATCTTATCCAAAATCACAGTCCGCAAGTCAGTCCGCAAATCAAATTTCTCGACTACCATATTCTTTGTTTGAAAGTTCTCACTGATGGAGAACACATATTAACAAAATGGTGGTAGGTAACGGGGGTTGCCCTTAGTTCAGACTGATTTTTTTACTGATATTAATATAAAAGTATGCCGTGTTTGTTGCCACTGACTTTGCTAATTAAAAAGGCAAATACATGTATATATGTCAATGCATACAGGTGTTATTTGCATGGAAATTATGGAGTTCTATGTAGTTATTTATCGTTTTGTCGAAAAACGTGTGAAACAGCGTCCAATTACTCTCTCCAGCACTCCCCATTATATTAGAAATGGTATAAAATGACAAAATCAGATTTCCTCATCCAGAATATTTTTTTTTTGTTGCTCTGAAATTACATTGGATGCCTTTAAACAAGGAAAGACATGTTACAACAATGTATATGGCAATTAGTTTGTAAAGCTTAGTATTAAAATCTGTATCATCTTTCTGACATGCAGGAATGCCTGGATGACATTGCAGACAGCAGAGTTCTTTGTGCACTCATCAACTCTTTTGTCCCCGGAACATTTACAACAGAAGTGCTGTTAAATGACAGGTATTGAAAGTTATTGAAATAATATAATATATACATACACACACATATATTTCAACAATAGTCCATAGTACACCATCCTCCATTTAGTGATTATGCTGTTTCCAGTGTGGCTAATTTGCTGGAAGAAGTGAGTTTTTACTTTTTTTGAAGATAAGTGTTTCTTGACGCTTACTGAAAATCACCAGAAATAAAGATGATTTCTGTTACATGTACATGTAGGTTCAGTGTGTACAGTACATGCATAATGTGACTATTTTTCTCCAGCTTGTTTAATTAAATTATGCACTTAAAACAAGTTGTCTAAATTTGTACATTCAGGTGACAAGCATGGAACTTGATTTGTTTCAGGTGGACATTAAACCTTGCACTACAAACAATAGGAGCGATGACTTATTGTTCAGTGCCGATGACGTCTCAGGACTTGGTAGAGGCAGATCCCAAGGCTCTGTCAGCTTTTATGTGCTTCTTCTTCATGAGTTGTTTCAAGTTCCGTCAGAGCCGTGCTGTGAAGGCAAGAGTACACGAGTTACATCTTCTTATGCAGGAGGTGAGGATTTTTATTTTATTTTATTTTCAATTAGCACATACATACACTGAAAAGTTATACAAAATAATACAGGATTCATGGATTCAATATCTGAAAGTGGCAGTTGATACATGGATGTTCAGCTTTTTTTCAAGTTACTTTACTTACAACTACATGCCTGAACTTACAAATATGATGTAACTGAATGCTGATCATTGCATTTAAAGACCAAAAGGCTGTAAATATCAAAAGTGTATATACAATATAGTCACTTGAAGTTGGTTTTAATGATGATGACTGAGAAATTGAGTTTGTACATCTTTTGAGATGCTCCAGCAAGCTTCCCAATCACAGGGTGACGTCAGCTCAGGAAAAAATACAGAAATGCAAAAATAAAACATAGACATGCAAATAGTTTGCTGGGACTGGCTTGTGCTGGCCTTTTCCCAACGGGGCATTGAAATTTCAGATGTGACAAAAGAACCATGTATATTTATTCTGAATGTGTCTCTTAGCCAGGTAATACTAGTTATGTCAACAACAACCAGATAAGTTTGAATTTTGATGTCATGAGGACTTAAATTGAAGTTATTTCTCCAAGGTGGGAGCAGAGCTGGACACCCTGCCTGACGTGGCTGGTAATATGGCTGAATTACGACACAAAAAGGAGCTCAAGTCCATGCATGATGCATACAGGTGAGCAGGTTTTACAGACATATATTTTCCTTTAAGGCAGCACCAACCAGTGCAGTAGCTCAATCAGGAAGAGTGCTCGTTTTGTAACTGGGAGGTCGTGAGTTCAACCCCCAGCCAGGTCATACTCCAAAGACTTTAAAAATGGTACTTTCTCTGCTTAGCAATCTATGTATGGGAAGGTCAAACACACAACACTACCAGCGGACAAGCCCCCTGCTGTAGTACTTGCACAATTGTGTGGCCCAAGGGCTACAGAAAGGGAGGTGGGCACCACCCCTATGCTCTGCACAGAATGGACCTGTGAGCACCAATTTGGTGTCTTGGTTGTTGGAAAATATTTATTTGAAGCAGACAGGTGAAATAGATGCCCAAGGTGAACACCCAGAGAAAAACTGTCACCTGTCCTTGGTGCTGAACACCTGTGTGTGGATGGTGTTCAGCACCAAGGACAGGCATGTTCACCTGTGTGTGGATAGTGTTCAGCACCAAGGACAGGCATGTTCACCTGTGTGTGTGTGGATAGTGTTCAGCACCAAGGACAGGCATGTTCATCTGTGTGTGTGTGGATAGTGTTCAGCACCAAGGACAGGCATGTTCACCTGTGTGTGTGGATAGTGTTCAGCACCAAGGACAGGCATGTTCACCTGTTCTGTGTGCTGAATACGCATTCCCTAGGTGCGTAACTGCAGCAAATTGCTATGGAAAATGATGCTGGTGTAAAGATTAATTCTGAAAAAATACATTAATCAGACAAACACATAAATGTAATAAGTATTACTGTATGCAAAATGTCCGTACTGTTGGCAACAAACAAAACAGGCTGGTTTGAAAAATTGATTTCGCCAATTGGTTGGGTTGAAGAGGTGGTTCCCTGGCAAATTTGCACTCCTGCATTGTAGTCATTGTCCTTCTACAGCTTTTGGTGACGTACATATATCAGCTGACATTAAGGCCAATGAGAATTAAAGTACATCACTTGAATTACTCATAGTGGTATCGTCTAATATGCTAGACCCTAACTATATGTAACTATAGAATACAACACGGGGTATTCCGTATCGCCCGAGGTATCGGCCCGACCGCGCGTCAGATCACCCGACGGCCAAAGGCCAGAGGGAGATCCGATCCGCGTGAGGGCCGGGACCGAGGGTGATGCAGAATACATCGTGTTGTATTGTATTTATGTCATACCCACCCAAGAAAACACACCTTTCAATGCAAGATGAGCGAAAATTTGGGGTCCCTAAACCAAAAAAATGCAACAACATCAATTCCAACGTCCGAATTTTCGAAAGCGGTGCACGCGGTTAGGGCGTTCGAATTGTTCTATGGAACATTTGGAAGCCCGTGCCATACGCGTAAAGAAGCCCGGACCGAACACCTGTATCGAACGTAATGCGGCCCAGGTATAAGTAACATTCCTTTGCCTGTGTTGTAGGGAGGAGTTAGAAGAGTTACAGCAGAACTATGACATCAAGTTCTGTGAGGACTGGGTGGAACATGTGGCAGACATTCAGTTACAGACGCACAAACAGGTCAGTGGAATGTTTGAAGTTAATACTTTTTACGTCAGTGAAGGTTAGACATCCAGGAAATACATGTAAGATATGCCAAAAAATCAAGCAACTACATGTAGAAAGATTTAGATTATTTTTCTAATTGTATTAATCAATGAATACATAATCTTCTTTATCTACATCTGTAGATTAGGCCACACCAATTTAATTTGTTGTTTCTCGGGTTCGCCCTGTCCATTTTTTTCTGCTTTGCAAAAAAAAAAATTAGGTTCTGAATCAACTGCAAAATGCTCAATAAAAGTCAAAGTTTGGCCCCAATCGTCGAAGAAAGTCCTTTTCTTCCTAATAACCACTTCAAACATTCTCAGTAAGGACACGTTTTTTTAATGCAAAAAAAAGTTCAAAATCTATTGTTCTAAATATAAACCAGCCTGGTATGTTGACTTCATGGCTCATATTGTAACATTTTCGGCTATTATGGGGTACCTTGGCCTGTTTTTTTTCATCGCCCTGTCACTTCATATTTTTTTGGACAAAATCTGAGAAACAACCAATTAAATTGGTGTGGCCTTAGCACTTGTTTTGAAACCAGTCCTGTTTTTCACAAGGTTGTATTGCACAAATAAGATATTACAGGAGAAAGGGATGCACACTTCAGACACTCTTGACACCCCACAAGTTATGGCTGGTATTACCATTATTGTACATTTTTCATTATGGCCTGTTTCTACCTGATTGATCATTATAACTGACATATTCTTCTAACAGGTTGCCTCAAAAATGAAGGAACGATATGAGGTATTGACTGTGCCAAGGAGCATCACAATCAACGAAATGTGCATCACACTTCTCATCAACTTGAGTCTGACTCAGGGAGCAGGATTTTACCGCATGGACAGCAAAGAAATAGTCACTGCTGATCGCAGACTGGTTAGTTATATTTTATCATTATCATTGGTTTATTTCTCAAACAGCAGAAGTAATACAGTAACTAGAGAAGTAACATTTGCTAAGCAAATGCATAATGTTTACCTTCAGACATGGTCTGGTCTGTTAATTCTTACTCAAACACATTCACATACATTGTACATGTACCACGAGTATATGGTGCCATGAAATTGCAACATTATGTAACCCAACACCAGTCACCATGGTGACAGATGTCAACAAATGATGTCATTGGTCAGGTCATAGGTCACTGTTTGGAGAAGAAGAAGAGAAAGAAACTGAGCAAAAACAATATGTTTCCCTTTGGTAAACATAAATACATGATGCCATCACTTCGCAGCCATTAAGGCTGAATTGTGTGAATTGAAGCAGGTCAAAATTAACTTTTCTTCCTATTGTCCCAGCACTGTCCCAAAAACAAATTCAATTGTCCTGAAATGAGGATGAACTGTCGTAACCTGTTTTTTGGGAAGTATTGTATGACTTCAACTTGAAGTCGACTTTATTTTGCTTATGTTCACTACCAGGTGCACTATAATTGCAGAGTAGACAGGAAATTTGGGGGGACTTTTCTGGATCCAAAAGCTGGGACGTGTGCCTGATAAACAAAAGAAGGGCTGACATTCTAATGTTGGTTATCTTTTATTGTCCAAAAAAAATGTCCCAAAGTGTCTTTTTAGTTGTCCCAGCCTGAATTTTAATGGTCAGTGGCCATTGGACCACCTTTAATTTTGAGCCCTGTGAAGTGTCTAACAATTAGCTAAAATCATCTTAAAGGACACAAAATGTCATAAAACAGTTTTAACATTTAAATCATCACAATTCAGGGCTGACAAACTCTACATGATAGTTTAAAATGTTGACAAGGTATGGTAGTGTGCTTCTGTTGTATCGTTCGGTGTATCATTTGTCTTTAGCCATTTTGGATGCTAAACTTGTTCAAACAGAAAGTACAACAGTTTGTAGAAGTCAAACCTATATGAAATGATTGATGAAGTCTGAAAAATGAATTGTTAATTTTTTTTGGGCAACATAATTGAATTTCAACAATATGAAATCTACCTGTTGTTCATCTCTAACAGACTTGCAAATGTCATGATTCTCACATCAAAATCAGCCAATATCATAATTAGTCCAGCAGCGTAGCTGAAAAATTGTGCACTTTTACCTAAAAGCACCAAATTTGGCACACATGTACTGTTAGTTAGAATAATCTAAGCAAATCTGGATATGGAGACATTTCAGTTTCTGCCCAGGAACAATTTTCTGGCATATTTTCTGGTATACTTTAAACTAAAATATTTCATGATCAAAACTACCCTACGTGGTGTTTATGAAACGATTGAGATGCATATGACATGCGTATTGTGCGTACGGTTGCATGTGAAAAATTATTGTCCGTACACAACTCATACGCAAAGACTGTTTCTCTGATATCCTGTATGTTGTACTTCTTGGTAGCGACATTTTTTTTTGCACCACATTCAGGTTCTGTTCCTACATAAGACTGGTCAGTACGTGGATGACCAGGTGAAGGCGTCCAGTGGTGTTTCTGTGAGAAGCCGGTTGGGACTGCAGGATGACCAGCCACAGGAGATCAACCCAGCACTGTACCCACAGTATCAAATCTTTGTTGGAGAGTCCGTCACGAAACAAGCTGCTGAAAACTGGAAGTGTCTTCTGTATCAGGCATGTAATTTTAACTTCTTCCTCAGGCCACACCAATTTCATTTCTTGGGTAACAGATTTTTCTAGAAAAATAATTGAGTGGGCGGGCGGGCAAAAAATAAATAAATAAAAACAGGCCTAGGCATCCTATTATGGCCCAAAGTGGTACGATAGGAGCCATGAGGTCAACACACCAAGCTGGTTCAAAATTTAAACAATGAATTTTGAACTTTTAATGATACCACTGCATTAACAGATGGAATGACTGTAACAACTTGGAAGAAAGGGACTGTTTTCAACTGTTCAGGACAAAATGTGAGCATTTTGCAGTTGATTCTGAATTTTTATCTTTTTTTTTTGCAAATCAGAAAAAAATGAAGTGGGCGAATCCGTTAACCAAGAAATTAAATTGGTGTTGCCTCATCTGTAGTGCCCAGGCTTTTTTTCTCCTGATGAGCAATTTCTGAATTTTGATAGATAGTTACCTGAAAATCATCAATATCATTAAATGTAATTATTCTGTCAGACAGGGTTTTTGATCATGTTGTGAACGTTACCATTCAAAGTACAAATTTTAATAAATTAGATTTAAAAATAGTGGTCCAGAACGTTAGATTTGTTTCAGGACTTGCAAAACATATCTACACTGAGTCATGGGTTATAAACATCCCATATTCATCAGTAATGTTTATTTTAGGTCATCATCTAATACAAATCATTTTGTGCCACATACCTGTACATGTACGTTAAGTAAGGCCACACTGACTTATGTATGACATCCAATGAAGACCAGCAAACTAGTGCGCACAGGTGAATAGAAAAAAATTCCAGAAAAAAAAACAACCAAATGCCGCTAAACCGCATGAATACAAAGCTGGTATGGTGAATATGCGCTTGTACACGTACTAAGACTATTAAGTACATAGCAACTTTTACGACAAGCCGGCACATGCTGGCCTTTAGCGGCATTTATGAGTCGGCACTGTGCTGAGTTCTTGAGTTCCATGGAGCTTCAGCAGCCTGGGTGCCATCCTCTGTAGTTACAACTGGCTCCCTATTGTCGCTAGCTACTATCGACAGAGGATGGCACACAGGCCAGAGCCTCTGGTAGGTGATTTTTTTAAGTCCAGGCAAAACTCAATGCGTGCCTGGATGTCATCCATGAAATTAAATCAGTGTGGCCTAATGTCAAGCTTGCCTACTAAAGTGATTATAATTGTCTTTTGTCTGAGCAGGTGTTTCCATGCAGCACGTTACAGTGGCAGCGTATGATGATGAAAGCAGGCAAAGAAGGAGATGATGAGATGATGAACAAGTTGGTGTCTTTTTTCCGCGTGTCACATCCATCCTTCATCAACTCACAGGAGGCCAGCACTGGCAACAGTGTTCTACATGTGGCATCTCGTGCAGGACATTTTGTGAGTGTTGCGAGGGATTCATTCTATCATTATACTGTACATTCTGTTAAAAATTCTATTAGAAATTCTATCATTTTACATATAGCATAATTGTTTACATGAAGCTCATCTGTATTCAACTTGCTTAATTGGTAGAGTAACTGTTATAAAGTTTGAGCTTAGTTCCAATGCAAAAAGGAAGTTCTGAACTGTAACAGTGGTAAGATTCCGTCTTAGTGCCACTTTTGATGACGTCATCACGCTTCCGACTTCCAAAAAGTCAGCGAGTGGATCACACATCTGAAGAAGATTGACCAGAAATTTATTGCCTAGTTCCCTTTATGTGTTGGAACTAAGCTCAAACTTTAGAGATTATAATTGAGGTTGGCCAAAAAGCAGTTACTCAAGCAACTGGATATGATTTTGGAAATGGTCAGACATTTCAGCTAGTATCCACTAGCTTTCGTCACTTAAGCTTTCGCTTGAGTAACTGCTTTTTGGTGTATCGTATTACCTGGATGTCTAACCTTCATCGACGTATAATTGAGGTTGATTGTAACTTTTAAAAATCAATGATCAAGACACAGACACCTCATAGTTTTATGACTTAATTTTCAGAACATTGTACGATATTTGCTCAAAAATGGAGCCAATGTCAACTTGCGTAATGCCAGCGGAGGCACGCCCCTGTTCTCTGCTGCGGAGGGGTTACACCGCCGGGTAGCCCAGCTCCTGCTGGAGTGGGGAGCTGACGTCAACGCTAAGAACTTCAGATGTATGACAGCCTTGGAAGGTCTGAGGAGTGATGAGTTAAAAGACAACTTGACTGCTGTCACCTCATACCTCACCAGGTACTTGTCTTTGTGTTTTTATTTATTTATTTAATCTTCGGACACCTGGGTGGCCTAGTTCAATTTTGACAAATTGATTTTCAATAGGGCCCAGTACAAAATACAATAAAATCAAGGATACAGATACAAACAAAGACCAATATAAACAAATCAGAATCGTTATCCATACACATGTAACTCGTGTCGAGGGTAAGGTAGCCAATATCAACTTGCTGATGACTCTGCTACACTGTAGAATTTGGACCATCGCACACCAGGGCATGTCCCTACTGTTTTTCGAAAGGTGTGGTGGGTTCTTAAATGTGTGTTGGGTGTGGCTCTCCCAAGCGCAGAACCTCCATTTAACATCCTATTTGAGGGACGTTGATAACCAAAGCTAGGTACTCATGTTCACCTGAGTGAAGTGAGGAAAGTTGTGAAAAGTACCTTTCCCAAGGGCACAACGTTGGGGCGTGTACATGTGTAGGTGGAATCGAACCCAGGACCCATGAGTTCTGGGCCAAATGCCCTACCATAATGCCACACGCCGGCACTAATGTACTCTAATTTTGATCCCACTGACCAAACAGCATTGTTAGGGACTGTAGGAAATTTAGCAATGGGAAGGATCATAGTTTGAGCGTGTGAAAAAAGCTTCGTATGTTAGGGCACTATCTATATGCATTTACAAAATTAATGTTTTAATATTGAAACTTTATTCGCAAAATCATGCCCAAAGGCTCATTGCTTTTACAATCAAGAATAAAACACATTGCAATACAGTAACAGGAGACAGGTAACAACTGTCTGGAAAAAACTTCTACTTCTACTACTATGCTAGCTATTATGGGGTTCGACTTCTTAATATCACTGTAGCTGCATAGATACCATGTTTTCCTTTGCATTGATGATAAGAATTTATTTTAACACATGTTATAAAATTAGAATTAACAATTTGATAAATGTTTATTTTGATTGTGTTGTTTATTAGCTGTCAAAATTTTGTATACTGTACTTTCATTGCTTCACACTCGTTCCTTTATTCTAATATCATACATACATGTACTTCTTTCTAGCATTGTGCCAAAGATCATGGAGGGTGACATGCAGACATTAAAGAGGGTTGTCCAGGATCATGTGATGGGAGTGCACCATTTTGCTGACCTCAGTAGTCGCTGCATCAGTGGCAGCACCCTACTCCACACGGCTGCTTACTTTGGAGCAACATCAGTTGCCAAAGAACTGCTGAAGGAAAGGATCGATGTTAACTTGTCGGACTACAAAGGAGCGACTCCTCTACATCGGGCGAGGGACAAAGCTACCATCCAGGTACACAATCATGTGCTGGCCATAATTTTGGTCCAGGCCACACCAATTTAATTTGTTGTTTCTCGAATTTTTTCAGAAAAAAATATGAAGCGACGGAGCAAAATGAAAAAACAGGGCAAGGCACCCCATGATAGCCGGAAATGTTACAATATGAGCCATGAAGTGAACATACCAGGCTGGTTTATAATTAAAACAAGAGATTTTGAACTTTTAATAAAACAAAATTGCATTGTTACATTCAAAACTTTAACAGCTAGGAAGAAAAGGACTTCCTTCAACTGTTGGGGCCAAAATATGTCTCTCATTGAGCATTTTGCAGTTGATTTAGAACAATTTTTTTTTGCAAATCAGAAAAAAATGGACGGGGCGAATCCGAGAAACAACAAATTAAATTGTTGTGGCCTACTGTCCTTTGTTTTGTAGTTGTAACATTTGTTTTCTCTTTCACCTTCTGAAGTGCCATTTTACGTATTTTTAGAAGGACATTTTTTTGTCATGACGTTCAGATTGTCAGGACATAAATAAAAATAGTTAAGTAAGAAAAATTTAAGAGCTTAAAACTTTGACAATTCAAAGAAGCTCAACAGTCACAGTCACATGTCCTTGATCTTGTATAGCTTACTACTACATGTAGTTGCCACCAGCCTGTGTGTAGCCTGGTAGTTTGTTGTTCGGCCTTGAGTCGAGAGTATGGTGCATTTGATGGTGTCTTGTGGTCAACAGATCTGATGCTTTTTGCTCGCACTCTTGAAATCAACAAGGCTATGTGCATCTTTCACTGCCTGAATGTAAACAATAGCCTGGATTGTGACACTCCTGGCTAATCATTGGTTTACAGCAAAGTTGCAGAGTTCTAGCTACATGCAGAAGTCCTGGTGGTGGAAAGAAGATGCCGGTGTTACTCTTGTTTTAAATACTGGAGGTTGTTGTCAGTGATCCGGCCGACCATGTTGTCTGGAAGACTGTTCCAGATGTCAACTGCAGTATGTATGAAGGTTCTGCTGGTGGCGTGAGTTCTAGAGACTGGCACAGTGAGGGCATGTTTTCCAGTGGAGAGACTGTTCCAGATGTGTACTGCAGTATGTATGAAAGTTCTGCCGGTGGCATGAGTTCTAGATACTGGCATGATGAGGCCATGTTTTCCATTGGTGAAGCCTTAATAATACTGATAATTGTTTGCATCATACAGTTGTTGCTGGACAGTGGTGCTGGCATCAATGCCCGTGATTATGAGGGCAACACTCCTCTGCACATCCTCTGCTACGGTGAGAAGGGTCAGCCCTCACAGCTGGACTGTTTACAAGCCTTGGTAAGTGGACTTCAATTTATTTCGGGGTTAATTGTGACATGAGTATAACATAGTTCATGTGTGCAGGGCTCGAAATTCATTTTTGGGAATAGGTGCACTGGTGCACTCAACATAAAAAATTGGGTGCACAAAATTTTCTGTGGGTGCACCATATAAGATAAAATAAGTATAATGTCAGCGAAAACTAATTATGTTTTGTTTCTAAAGAAAAGTACTACAAGAATGATTTTACTATTTTTCTGACACTTAGATGTTAAGAATATGCTGAATACTAGTACTACTCTAATTTTAACATCTTGACTTATACCTACAAAAAACATTTGGGTGCACCAGTGCACCCACAGAAAAAAATTGGGTGCACAGCTCCAAATTTGGGTGCACTAAGGTGCACATGCACCCAGTATTTTGAACCCTGTGTGTGTGTGTTTGTGGCTTTTACTGAGAACTCACCATTCAGTCTTTGTATTATACTGCTGCTACTTACACATGTAGTTTGAATAATTTTCAACAAGCATGGCCATTGTATGGTACAATAGTAAACTGTGGTATCGGGGGCAATTGGCGTGCTGCCATCAAGCCCCAGATGTTTTGTGCAAGCATGTCTAACCCTCGGAAGACGGGGAACAACAGACGATAAACCGGACAGTGTAACACAATGAAGGTTAACTAAGTTAAACTTAGTTCACCTTCATTATATTTCATGCCATACCATAGGCATGGATGAAATAAATTGTTTTCTCTGACATTACAAATGTATATTTCAGTACCCCCCAAAGATGCACCCAAAAACTTATAACTTTGGCAAAGGAAACAATTGCTTCTTCAGGTTACGCAGTTCACACAAACACAAATGGACACAGAAACAATTATATAACCTTCTTGGCAAAGCTTAGTAAGAAACAGGTGACACAACCTGTTACTTTTTCCTACAGATTGTTTGTTTATGTTTGTTTATTTGTTAATTTAACCAGAGAACATATCGCCATGGAGGGCGGTTTTCATTGCACCCTGGGGGGATATCCCCAAACACAATAAAATAACAAGAGTTCCGAGATCTCATACCTCCATGAAATATGGGCTTGATATGTAAATGTAAATTTCTTCTTTAATTACGCAAATGACCTCTGCATTAACATAATATATGCATCGTGATGTTAACTTTTGATTAACTTAAAGATGTCCCAAGTATGACATTCCCATCATTCACCATTGAGAAATCATAGATTTTTTGCATTAATTATGCAAATTAGGTCATCATTTGCATAATTAGTATCTGTTGATGTTCCATCTGCCATAGGTTACATACATTACATGTATGAAAGTTCTATAATGTAAAACACTGTAATTATAGAATTTCCTCATTAATTATGCAAATAAAGTCCTCATTTGCATAATTTGCAGTTAATTATGTACATCTCTCTGTCAGATACCTACTCACCAAAAATGATGAAAATACGCTGTTCCTATCTGGACTTATTGGCTTTCAAAGATTTCGCCCGAAAGTCCCCTGCAGTTCCTGAACAAGCTGCTAGGGGGACCAAACCCACACCACTTATTCCTGACAGGAAAAGCTATCTGTCACCAAAAATTCAAGACCATAGCATGTTCAGGACCAAAGATACAAAAACCGGAAGTTCTGCTGCAGTACCAAGGTCATCCACCAGGAGGCCCATATTTGACCTTGACCTTTGTCTTCCTAAGACTTATCAGCATACCAAATATCATCACAATCCATAAAGGCGTTATGAAGTTATGCTGACTACAAAGTTGCGGAAACACACACAGACACACACACAGACACACAGACAGACGCCGCCAAAAACAATACCTCCATTTTTGATGGAGGTAATAACAATATAATACAACATAAAGTAATCACTGAAGAAACTTATGTATAATCAAGGGGCAAATTAAAATAAGGTAACTTAAGCACAAACTTAAGTAACAGAATCAGCGGTCCAAAATAGGCATTTTTGACAGTGATAATTATCATTCCTTTCTTTTTCTCAGCTGGACTCTGGTGCCCACATTACATTGTGCAACAAGAAAGGCCTGCTTGCAGCGCACTGCTGTGCCATGCAGGGTCGCACAGAAACAATCCAGCTGCTTGTTGACAGAGATGTGGACGGAGCCATGAGGGCGGCAATAGAAGAAGGGACAAATCTGCCCAGCTTGACGTACCTCGCTGTGGTCAATGGATTCCTGGCCTGTGCCATGTGGTTGGTTCTGGAAGTTTTTGTTTCAACTGAGATTTTTTAAACAGTTCTTCATCAGTATCTTACCTCTTGTGGCTGAAAGTAGTGTGCAAAATATATATCATTTTTATTTTTTTAGGTGAGGTGGAAGAGAGTTACAGAATATGATAAGCACCAGTACAGGAGGGATTTCTTTTTGTTTTTTTGACAAAATATTTATACTTAAACACACAACAAATGTTTAGCTACGCTGGGGAGCTTTCAAGACATACTTTGTCTCTTCATCAACCCGATTAAGATTTATTTTTGTAACGTTATTGCAAGTGAGCTCTTGGACATTAAGTGGAGAGAGCCACAGTCCACACATGTTAAAAAGAACCCAACACACCATTCAAAAAAGAGTAGCCCCAGTGTGTGATGGTCCAACATCCTACTGTCTGGATCAGAGTTGGTGATTCACCTCAAATCACCCGGACAGAAGTCTGGTGAAATTCTGTCAGCCATGCCAGAATGATCAATAGGATGATCATAGTCATGAAAGCAAGGAAAGGTAAGGAAAGGATAGGAAAGGAAAGGATCATAGGAAAGGAGAGGATAGGAAAGGAAAGGAGAAGAAAAGAAAGGATAGGAAAGGAAAGGAAATAAAGGGAAAGGAAAGGCAGTGATTACAATATTGTTTACAGTATTATTTAATACTTTGCCTGTACAATCCAAATTTAGTTAGTAATGTAATCATTTAACTGTGAAAACAAATGCTAGAAGTGAAATTGTTAATCTTTATCAAGGCGTATTATCAAAGCGTATTATTTTATATCATATGTATTTGGCCCATACGATTTATTTTAGTAATAATGATAAACAAAGCTTCAAGACTTGGAGGATCCACACAAACAATTTAGTTGAATTGAAATGGGTTGTTATTATGTGCAGATGATCATTTTTAGAAAACTATGGTAGCCTGAACTGGACTCGTGTAACCAGTATTGTTTCCACCCTTCCTGCCAGGCTTGTGCAGGCAAACTTTGCCCTAAAGGCGGGAGAAGCAGACCAGCTACTTCAGATAGTGTTGATGAAGAGAGACATGGAAGATGCAGCGATGTTTGTCCAGTTCCTGTTGGATAACCAAGCAGATGTGGGGGTCAGATTTGCACAGGTTTGTGGGAAACATATACATACATATTAGGCCACACTAATTTAAATTAATTGCTTCTCGAATTTGCTATTTCTCTATTTTGCATTTGATTTGCAAAAAAAAAATCTGGTTCTGAATCAACTCCAAAATGGTCAAATTGAATGAATTGATTTGATCAAAAGTTCATTGTTTAAATCATACACCAGCCTGGTATGTTGACGTCATGGCTCCTATGGTAGGATTTGGGGCCATCGAAGGATGCTTTGGTCTTCACTGATGATGTCTAGGTCTGTTTTTATTTTCATTTTTTTGACCTGTCACTTCACACTTTTTCCAAAATAAATCCGAGAGCCAACAAATCAAATTGGTGTGGCCTATTACAAAAATATTCAACAAGACATTTACTTTTTCTTTGAAAACTTCTTCAAACAAGAAGGTTCAGTCTAATACAAAGTGCACATCATCCGCTATATTTTTCTGCTATCTTTTTACTTACGCTCTATCCTTTTGGAGGGGCAACGAGTTATAAGTCAATTGTTTGTTACCTGTTTGGGTCACACTGATATGATTTTATGGATGACATCTGCACGCGCATTGATTGATTTTTGCCTGTTCTCAAAAAAAAAAAAAAATCACTGAGGCTCTGGCCTGGGTGCCATCCTCCGTAGTCCATGCATATGGTACAATATTGTAGCTAGTGACAGAAAAACTCATACATTGTGAATGCTGCAAAAGGCCAGCACGTGTTAGCTTGTTGTAAAAGTAGTTTTGTACTACTGCAAATTCACAATACAATATTCACCTGTGTGCACTAGTTTGGAGGTCATCCATAAAATTAAGTCAGTGTGGCCTTATGTCCAGGGCTCAGCTTTGCATGTAGAACAGCTACAAAATGTGGACTACCAATTTAATTGTCTTGTATTGATGCAGGGGAACACTCCGCTGCACCTGGCAGCTGCATCTGTGACAGCTGTGGAATCCCTCCAGCTGCTACTATCATATGGAGCTGAAGTTGATGCTACAAATGACTTGCAGGAAACTCCACTGTTCAATGCTGTCCAGGCTAATAACCACTATGCAGCAAGCATACTTATCAACCATGGTAAGAACAGTCTTCCAACTTCTTTGTAGAAGAAAAAAGTAACAAGGCAGGCAATAAAAATCATTGCCAAGGTGACGACTGAATGATTATTGTTGCATGTGGTGGAGCTACATGTAGCAATCTCCATTACAATTGTAAGAAAAACAGATGTTCAGTCTTTTATAAACACATGCATGTAGTGAAATTTACAGGATGGGTGGAGGTGGTGCGGGGCTATATACCAAATACACGTATAGGAGAAATCAGCCTAGGGACAGTGGGTTCTCACATGTACGACATGACAGGTTTTTATCCCACCATGAGCTTTTTCATATTTCACTTTTTCATTAAATTTTAATAATAGAGCATGTTTGCTGTTTCAGCTGTAACTATGGTAGGTCATTCTGTTTGCCATGTTTAAGACTTCTTTAGGCCACACCAATTTTAATTTGTT